AGGAGAGTCCAGCGGGTCCTAAATCCTGGACTACTGGAAGGTTCCCTATCTTTCTCTCACTTCTCTCTCTCTCTCTGCCTCTACCTATCTCTATCTCTCTTTTTGATTTTTCTCTTCTCACCAAGTGTATGCAACGCTTCTTGTGAGACAGTGCTTCAGTTTGAAAGTTGTGTGAGATTTATGTTGTCAGCGACAGATCCAGTCCATGTTTAATATTCAGATTAAGCTTTAAAGAACGTTAAGTCTCTATCAGCTCATTTAATTCTGAGGAGAGGAAAGGATAAACTTTTTAATTGCATAAAATTTTACCGTTATTTATCTACCACCAGAACATTGTTTGCCAATGTCAAATATTTGACAGTAAAACTTGTTAATCTTCTTTGTTCCAGTAATTTCTCAACATTTGGCATAAATAAAACATTTTTTTTCTTATTTATTTAAAACGCAAGTCGTTTACTTTACTGAGTCAGTTGAACATAATATTTCTTGTGACTGACTTATTATATTTTCTCAACCCTAGAGGCATCCATGGTGAACATAAGAGGAAAGATAAAATGCTGAACTCACTATTATGACATTCTCTGATGTTTCTGTGTTGCTTTACGAGTATCAGGCCCAGTATCGGGCACTGATAAATGTTGTTGTTATTTATTATCTTTTTGGATTCAGCTTTAGACTTACCTGCTGTAACATTTGCTCTGGACCTCAGCTCTATTCTGCAACAGTTCAACCTGCATGTGTGACTGCCTCCTCTGTTGTTTACTGTGTGAATATCTGTAGTTTTTTCTAAGTCTACTACATGGCTTCCCACCCATGTGTTCATGTTGTAGCGTGTGACTGCGAGTGCATGAGATACACCATGTTGTTGTTAACACTATGGACAGTGGCTTTGTGGAGCTTGAGATTTTCTCGTATGTCTCTGTAGCACCCGGGATGAACGCAGGAACCACCGCCACCGTGGCCCTGCTGAGGGACGGCATCGAGCTGGTGGTCGGCAGCGTGGGTGACAGTCGTGTCATGTTGTGCCGCAAGGGCAAGGCCCTTAAACTCACTGTTGACCACACCCCTGAGAGAAAGGATGAAAAAGACAGGTACATGATGCTTTTAAAAGCAGGTTTTAAACTTCATTTTTTCTTTCTTTTTTATTAATTGTAAGTACCCTGAAAAGAATCCTGCCTTCATAGCATACATCTACTAATATACCGATCTGCACCTGTTTAAGGATAAAGAAGAGTGGGGGGTTTATCACCTGGAATAGCCTGGGGCAGCCAAATGTCAATGGCAGGTTGGCAATGACACGTAGCATTGGAGACTTTGACCTGAAGAAGACGGGAGTCATTGCTGAACCTGAGACCAAAAGAGTAACGGTAGGTTTGTAAATTTAGTTTGTCACTGAAATATATATTTTTTGATACATGTTATCTTCAGAAGATGCAGTTTTTGTCATTTTTCCTCTGTGCACCACCACAGTGGGTCTTAAATCAGACAATAAAGATGCAACTGACTTTCAAACTTTTAAGGGTTTTTACAAAAATGTTAGTGTATAGGCACATATGGCTGCCAATGGAAGCAAGGCACTGGGGTTATTGGTAATGTGACTGCTGACAGAAGTAGCAGGATGAATTCTGAAGTGTGCATGTCATGCTGCAAAAATAATCTGACAGTGCAAATGATAATGACCTAAATCAAACTGGAAAAACAACCCAAGAGCTTCTTGAGGGAAAGAAATTTGATATTATTCAATGGCCAAGTCAGTCACATGATCGTAACCAAACAAAGCATGTCTTCAGTTACTAAAAACCAAACTGAAGTCACAGAGAGACACAAACAAGCAACAACTGAAGGTGGCTGCAGGAAAGCCCTAACCGAGCAGCTCGAGGGAGGAAAGCATTAGGTGAGACCTTAGCCACTGACTGCAAAGTTCACCCAGGTGTTTAAAAACAATCCTTATATTTAAAATGTTTGTCCGATTATTTCTGAGGCACTGAAAATGGGGACTGTTTTATAAAAATGACTGCAAAATATTTTGTTTGTATTTTGTACGTCACGATTGTTTGATTTAAAATCCATATTGCTGGTGTATTGGGGCAGAACCATGGACTGTTTTAATGCAGATCTCTGCAACAGCACATTTTCACATCTGTTGTTCGCTGAAGAAGTCAGTAAAGCCAGTCTTACCATCTTCTTGTAATAGTTCAGTAGATTTGTCTTTTTAATGTCTGTTGTAAAGTATTATGTATTTATTCCCTTTCAGTTGCACAATGTCCATGACTCATTCCTGGCGCTGACCACAGATGGCATTAACTTTATTATGAACAGCCAGGAGATCTGCAATGTCATCAACCAGTGTCACGAACCCAAAGAGGCAGCACAGAGAATATCTGAGCAGGTAAAACATTTGATGCTTTTGTTGAATATTAGCCCATGGGTCAATGTGTTACCTGTTCTCCTACAAGGTTGTTTGTTGCTGGGTTTCATTAAGTTTTGGTTGACTCATGTACTGAAATGATCTGTTAGACACAGAAAAAGCTTCCCAAAACCGTGTCCATGTTTCCTCAAGTCTGGAATTTCCTACAGAAGATTAATTTTTGGTTGAATTGATCATTCATCCGATGACTTTCTCTAACCTTGTTGTGCTTCACATTGCGGTGCTCTGTTTTGTTTTGTTTTTTAAGGCTATTCAGTATGGTTCAGAGGACAACAGCACAATCATCGTGGTGCCGTTTGGTGCCTGGGGAAAGCACAAGAGTTCAGACACGAGTTTCTCTTTCAGCAGAAGCTTCGTGTCCAGTGGTCGCTGGGCATAGGCTGCGGGACATAGGATGAAAGGACGAGGTCTGTTTAAGACTTTGTTAACATGTGCAATACATTTGGCTTCCTGTAAAGAAACTTTGTAAAAAGTGTGTGGTTTGCCGAAATAATTACACCTAATGGCTACAACATTAATTACAGTTGCATGATGTTTATTGCCTCTGAACAAAGAGGCAGTGAATTCATGGGGCTAAATCTCCCTTTATACAAGGTTGTATCTACTAGCAAGCCAATGACCTCATAGGTGCTAAAAGTGTGTGAGCAGCAGAAGGGAATGTATGTTGGCTAAATCTGTAGCCTGCTCTACAGATTTAATTCCTCACCTTCTTCTGCCATTCACACATTGTTTTATCAGTTTAGATTCATCACACCACAATCTCACCCACAATTTCATTTTTATTGTTAACCTACATTTTTAAAGAAAATGTATCCCACCAGGTTTAAGAGCGCAGGTTTTAAGTTTGGACCATTTCTCCATTTTAATTTTGGGAGCAAGTGCAACAAAAGGAGTCGGGGTTGGACAATTGAACTACAGTGATTGGTCATCAGCTGCTGTGAAACCCACACCTTGGTTGAAGAACTAGTGTGACTGATAAAGTCACTGACTGGGCCTTAAAAACTTTATGGCAAATTTAAAATATCTAAATTATATAGCTTTCCTATAAGAATTGTTCTTGTACATTTAGTTGCAAACCAACACTTTAAAATTTCCTTTATATTTAAAGAAAAACAAAATTTCTTAAAGAGCCGCAGAAATTATTGGAAGACTTGGACAATCTTAAAAGATGTAAAGGTTTTGAACAGAGCTGCCTGGACAGCATTTTGGTGACTGAACTTGATATTTATATAGGAATAAAAATGAAATTTTATGTTTCTTTGCCAGGCTTGCTTGATTTGCAACAGGTCCTTTAAAGGGGACTTAAGTGTTTGAGGTACTGAATCATACTGTTTCTGTTCTGTAAATAATCATCTGTGTGATATGTACACCTGGAAAACTGGTCTCACCTATATTTTCTTCATATCTCAGCTACGTTTGGCACATCAGAATATTCTACACATGCAGGTCTTTAGACACGGACCTGTGGTGTGAGTAACCTGGCGTTATTTTTGGTTTTCCACCGTTGTGTGTCAGTCAGACACAACAAAGCACACCTAATGCAACACTAGAGAATTGTTTAGCTAAGAGCCATGTATGACAATGTGAATGTTTGCTTAAACTGAAACAATGTAACCAGTCTCTGTAGGCTATAGGTGTGACTAAGCTGCTCAAGTCGTGTTGGCTGACCTTATGTGAGTGGATGTGTTTTCAGACTTAATCCGTTGAGCTGGTGGTGTGATCTTTTATTTTGTCCTTGTTAAGGCTAAAGAAATACAGCACATCATATTTATCAGCATTATTTTATCTGTGAGTTCCTAATGTTGTATAAACTGTCATCTTGTAAATGTTCATGTAAATATATTTTCTCTCCCTTATTCTTGTATCTAACGGGACTTTGGATATTATAAAGGCGCTTGTGTGTATGATTTTCAAAATAGTTAACAAGCCTTCTGTCAGAGTTACTCTCTAACCTTGTGTTCAGTATTTTACTGCACTTTGTTGCACTGCCTCTGAAATATAATCATTGTGGTGTTGGATCTGCACCTGGGACCCAAATGTGACCGTTTGAACGACACTGTTAGTACTGTACTCTTGGTCTAAACGGCTTGTGACACTTTCAATAAAAAAACGATACATTTAGAAACCGTTTTCTTTGTAACATGGACGTGTTGTTATCCTCGTGTAGGTGATCCAATGCTTTTGTCAAGTCAAGTCAAGTTTATTTATAGAGCACATTTAAAAACAACCAAGGCTGACCAAAGTGCTGTACAGTAAATACAGATAAAAATACAATAGAACACAATTTCGTAGTAACACCTCGCTGATAAAAATAAAAATAAATAAAACAAATAAATTAAACCTTTCTAAAAGCCAATGAAAAGAGGTGAGTTTTAAGAGTGGTTTTAAAAGTTTCTAGGCTTTTGGAGAGTCTGACGTCAGGAGGTAAGCTGTTCCACAGCTTACCAAAAGCTTACCTTTTGTCCATACAGTGAAAGATTTACATCAACAGAGCAGTTTACATGCCACTTCAAACAGATAGGAAAACATTGATATTTTTTAAAATATTTATTTTTGCATTATGTCTACATATATTCCAGATTTTTCTTTACTTTTTTTTTAATTTATTTTTTTTAACATGACCAAGTTTGAGCTCGTTGGCAATCTTTATTTAGAAAATTACAAATTGTATGGAAGAATTTGATAAATTAAAGAAGGCAGGTGCCTGAAAAATAAATCTTGGACACCTTAATTGAGTCCAGAGTTAGGAAGCTCTGCTCCACCTACTTGACTAATTAAATATCAGGTATACGTAATAAATAATGAAATCTTAATTGTTGTCAGTTAGACAAGAACGCAAATTTATTTATTTTTTTTTGTTCAGTTAACACAAAAAAAAATCTCATTTTTATCTGGATTGATTGTGTAGATTCAAACTGCTTTAAGTTGTTGGGGAAACAACCTGACAAACGAATAATAAAAAAACTTCCTGTTTATCCTCAGAACAAATTCAAGAAATTTCCAGATGTAAATGGAGAACTAGACAAAACTAGACATTCACTCAGTTGTGGTCAATGTCAGTTTGATTTCTACAGCACTTTGGTCAGCCTTGTTGCTTTTTAAAGTACTTTACGGGTTGGTTTAAAACCACATGAAACTACACATTAATAAAACAAAATCAAACGAACATATTTGAATAAAACAAGATGATGATGATGATGATAATAAAGGGGAACACAACATAAAAAGCCTGATGGGACTTGAATTTGACTTTGAACTTCAATTAAAAGGCTGGATTTAAAAGACTGCATAAGCTACAGTACAAATATCAAGTGGCAGGTTATTGCATTAGTCTAGGGTCTGCAGCTGAGACTGAATCGAGACTTCGGTTGCACTGAGAGCATCTGGCTACATGTTTTGGAGTTATATAGGTTGAGCGGCTTGACTAAATAGATGAATGACATATTGTTTAAGACTTTAAAAGTAAGTCAGAAAGCAGCCATCTCAGATCTATGTGAAAAGTGCCATGTGCCACAAGGATACATGACCACAGCATGGAGATACTCTGAGAGAATATTCTGAGCCACTGTGAGATTTCTCCCAAGGCCACCAAGGGGAGACAGAACTCAAAGTTAATGTTTGTTCTGACACTGATCCAATGGATCCACCACAGAATCCACGGCAAGAAGCACTGAGTGGGATTGCAGGTGTCAGCCATTGCTTCACATCTTTCCTTGTCGTGGGTTCCAGAGTCGTTTTCCATCCCTGCCTTCTGTACATGAATGCAGTAGACGTCATTAGGTGGAAGCTTCCACAGAGTAGAGTTACTCCGTGACACCAAAGAAGTTACATAAGACCACTTTCCTAACGCACTTATGTTGAAAATTGATAGGCACACTAATGCACACATGCAGACTCTTTCAAACTCTGGACGCAGCATCACACCGTTGCAATCTAATGCTGCTAAAATTAGGATCATAGTTCTCTACAGTCTTCACAGGATTGTTGGCAACCTAACAGAGACTATATCTTGTGCAATAAATCCATTATGCTCTCCTGTGAAACCTGATCCTGTTTAGTCAAGAGTTGCATGAAGACACAGATATAAATTTTCTTTTACACGCAGGCATTGAAATCCAGCATTCACAGTCACACTCTGGGCTTTAGTATCACAAACACAAAGTTACTGCAGTACATCTACTTTACCAGGATGCCACAGGTAGATATTCTCTCTTGTGACAAACTAAAGTTAGCCACACGTGTTTAATTAATTTGACTGACGATAAAAGTTTGTGTAAGATGAGCCAGGTATGCAAACTTCAATGCAATGATACATTAACATTTAAATTCCCACCCCCTAAAAATCTGTAAGCTGTGTATCTGTCAGTCACCCCTTGAATTAAGTGTCCAGAACTATTAAACTGCATTTCTAGACATTTTAAAAGGGGATAGATGCTCTACTAACTACTTCAGCTACTATGAAGTTCTGACCCTCAGCACTCATGTGTAACCCCATACAGTAGTGGGTAGCTAAACAACAGATTGCCAGATGCAGATTTCATTATATTCCAACTCCTGGAAGAAACCAGTAACTCTGGTGGAAAAGGGGGATAAGCTGATAAGTGGCATAACTATATGCTTTGATTTATAATGAAGTTATCTGGCTAACTTTTGTATGAATAAAACGGAAAAAAAGAAAAATGAGCAGCTGTGAAAAATGTGATGGGCCTCACCTCCCTCCCCCAGCCTGAGTGGGGTTGACCCTTGTGGGTGAGCTGCCGCTGGCCATCAGTCTGCAGCAGCAGCCCTCTCACATCCTCACCGCCCGGTAAGTCCCAGCTACAAATATTTTCTCTCCTCTCTCTGTTGATTTCAGCAGCTCCTCAATCACATTTTATTTATTAACTTCTGCAAGAAATCACGTGCAGCTGCTGCCTTGATTTAGCATTGGCGCAAGAAGAAATAGTCCCTTAATTTTATCTCAGGCAGGTTTGACCCAGGGAGTGTAAATCACCGAGGTCACGTGTTTTACATAGCTATAATATTCTTGTCCACTCATATACCTGCTGTGTTTTGTTTTTTCTTTCTTTAACACGTGAGCTCAAACACAAAACACTGTTATAAAGAGCAGCCAGCGTGCCACAGAAACAACGTGTGGATTTAAAAACTGTACTTTGTTCCCAATAATAATAATAATAATAGTAAAGCACATCAATACGTTTCAGTACATCTTTAGTCCTCTAAATTAATACAAGTTAAAATAAATAGTGGACATGTCCTTTGAGTCGAGCACCCTCATGAATGTGTTTAGAAATATTAAGCTTACAGTGTTGTCCAGCATGTCATCCCCGAGTAATGCAGTGAAAAATCCACTGTTCTTTAAATTCCAGGATTTTTATTTGTTGTATTTATTTATCCTTATCAGTTTATCCCTTCGGAGCCGTAGGATACCAGCCTTAGCCTGCATTTAAACTTACAACTTCAAAATTAAATTAGATTAGAGTAGATTAGAAGAAATGTGTGTCCACGTGTTGATCTTTTTTGCTTTATAAAATTCAGAGCTAATGCCTCCTTTGGCAATGAACATTTAGTTACTATCTTGTTGTTTACGACTTTTGCAGGTGTTTATTATTTAAGTGAGACTCTCAGGATGGTTAAAACAGCTGATAACTATGCTGATTTTAGGATTATTGCTTCAAAAAGTGATTTGCATCCAGCAGGTATTCAAGAGGTGGAAACCTTAACACCACTTCAAAGCGATCCTTATCACCATACTGATCAGTCTGTGCCTTTAGTAAAGTAACAGCGTTTCTCTTTCATGTATAAAATTCTGTGTTTTTGGTTGCAGCAGAGGATGATGGAGAAAACCAGCCACATCAACATTGCAATGATAGAAGACATCGCTACTAACGGGATGGCCGTGTCAAAGGTCGGCACGGGCGTGGACGGGACGAAACAGCGGTGCGGTTCCACCGTGAGCTTCCACAACATCCAGTACAAAGTGCAGCAGCAGAGCGGCTTCCTCTGCAAAAGAAAGATCCTCTCCAAGGAAATACTGGTGGACCTCAAGTCAGTCTCTTTGTCTTTCTCCGCTCTGTCACCTTCTCACTCGCTTTCCTCCGTTTTCTCATCACTCACACACTACGCGCACATGAATTTACAGATATTAACCTGCAGAGCTATGATTTGCTCACTTGATAAGTGCAGCAGAAAGCCTGTAAAACATAATACCTGTTTTTTTTTTAATTATTTCCCCTCTGCTTAAGCTAGCTGAACATGCACAGAACCCCATTAAACAGTAGAAATCTTATGATTTTTACTTTGTTGAATTTCAGAAAAAATGCCAAATGAATCCTTTTGAATTTTATTGCACTGACTGTTTTAGATTTCTTTTAATTTTGGGGGGTGTCGTCTTGCTTTTTTTCTTTTGTTTTCCATGTCAGTCCAGTACAAAGTGGGACAATAGTGAATAGACCCTTGCAGTTCCTTTCTGATGGTATTAAATACAGCTGACGTTTCCCATGGAAGAATGAATCATTTCACACAAGTTTTTTTTAGGGGGAACCTTTTTCCTGCCACAGTGTTAATTATATGATATTAAGCATGGTTTCTTGCATATAATCTCTCAAATGCACTAAAGAGCAGTCTGCCAGGGAAACGAATTAAACAGCGTCACGTGATCCACCGCCAGACCTTAATTCAGTCTTCAACTCTGTTTTAAATCACTGACTCACTCCGTGCTTTCTGAAGTCTCTGAAGTTCTTTAAATTGTTACATTTTTAAAAAAATGATATGATATCTGTATTTGCTGTAAAAACCATTCATGAATATTACTTTAAATGGGATTAGGGGGGATGATTCATTTAATAAAAGTAGTTCATTTCAGCATGTGTCTAAGGACCATATTAACTACTTTGATTCACATGCTTTGTGTCTGTGGCATAAAACTGATACAGTAAAAATCTAAGAAAAAACATTTATAATTGGAAACATAAGCAAATATGTGTCCCAGTATTTGAGTTTCTTTTTTCATTATTAAATCATTACACTCTTTTTGCCTGTGTCACTGTCTCGCAGTGGGATTATGAGACCTGGTCTGAATGCTATTCTTGGACCTACTGGAAGTGGAAAATCTTCGTGAGTACTACTTCAGTTTTCAAAAATACAGTTAGGTCTATAAATCATTGTATTATTATCTTATTACAGTATAAATCAATTAATCAATATGTGATTGAACAAACAGTAATACAAGCAGTACAAGTAAGTATTGCATTTGCTGTGAACAGCCATCTGACATGTTTGACAGAGGGTGGGTTGTGCTTTGGATCATGAGCATTTTCTCTCCTTCACCATTGTTTTCTCTTCTGTTCATACTGGTACGCGTTCATCTTGGTTTCATTTTTCCAAGGTTTTTTTTCCTGAACTGTGCGAGCTCTTGTAGATGTGTAACCAGAGGTTTGCACCTTGTAGTAAACGCTCTGTATTCATGAAGGCGTCTCTTGATCATAGTGCTCTTCACTTGGTTAGATGCGGTGACCCATAGAACTAATTCAGCACTTTAGTCGTCGTAATACTGGGCAGTGGATTCATTGTTTTTAGGAACCACAGGTGTTTCATTTGGCCGCTCTTAAACCTGTAAAGCTTGAACCATGATTTTTTTTTAACCCTCTCAGGCTCAAATTAAGTTTTTGTTGCTAATGCACAAAAGAATACCTGCAGTGGTACTTCTGAGTTAAAAAAAAACAAACTCATAAAATATGTATGTGGGGTAATCAGGTTGTTAGCTTTTAACTGTTGCAAATCTGCAACACCTGCCTTGAGAGGGTTAAACTGGACTGTTTATTAAACCTTCTGTCAGCTCATAATACTTTGAGCTGACTTCAGATATTACGTCTGCTTCATTTGTCAGTTGAAATTATGAGGGAAAGAGCCTCACCTAGCCACGAAACGTCTTGTTAATTATTTTTGAACCTTTAAAAATGGGGTATTTATGCATAAAAGGCCTGCAATTCCTAAACAGTTAATGTGATATTTTTAGGCCCGTTGAATTCAAATGACATTGTCTGAATACCTATGGACGTAATTGTATATAATCTTCAAATAATTACCTTAATTTTTGTTTTGGATATCTTTAGAATTTTTCTTTGCTCTTTATCTTTGAGATTCTTGGATATTCTGGCTGCGAGGAAGGATCCCGCAGGTCTCTCGGGTGAAGTTCTCATTGATGGAGCCCCACAGCCTCCAAACTTTAAGTGCCTCTCTGGCTATGTCGTCCAGGTGAATTTGTATTTCTTTAAATAGCCCATATTAACCATTTTATATCCACTCAGATGCACTGATATGGATATAGTGATGTTATGTGTTGAAATATATTTATTTGATAAATGTACAGTGCTTAACAAATGCTTGATACCACCTGCCACAAATATTTTAGAAATCTATCAAAAATTTGTTCAAAACTACACATTATGTTACTATTTATCAGGTAAATAACAGCTGAATTTACATTTTTATACCCAAATTTGAGCCGGCACTCTAGTCGTCTCTGAGAAGTCAGGAATTAATTGAGCGTCAATCGCGGAAAAAAAAAAATTCTGTTTAGGAGCACTAGTAAAAAAACCTGTAATTCTAAAAAAAATAAAAATAAATCAGCTTTTTTGTAAAATGTTAAATTGGAAAAATTGTGGATAGGACAGATAAATATATGTTAACATTAAAATAAATCCTTTCAATTAAACAGTGTATGGATGCTGGTGGGTTAATCATTACAGAAACATAAGAATTGCTTTTGGTAATTAGCAGTGCTTTTAATTTAGAACAGCTGTGGGATAAAACTTCAAATGTGTTTTGGTCTAATAAACTTGTTAAGCACTGTAAGTCGGAGTCATTCTCTGGTTTATTTTCTACGTACTTAATGCAGCTCTCTTTAGGTGTTAAGTTAAGCAACGTGTAAACTGGCTTTTCACTACTTATTTTTTGTTTTGGGGTCTTTTTCAGTGACGTATTGGCCGGCCTCGACTGGTTTCTTTAAGCTTTCATGCAGAAAAAGCTGAGAGCTTTGACTTTCTCTTAGACGCTGCGTCTGAGAGCAAAGCAAATGTTGTAGGCTGTAAAACCAACTTAACACACAGAGGTTGGCCTTTAAACATTAAACATAGTGCTGAGATTGTTTGTGTTTGTGTTAGACCTCTTTTAAGAAGAAACTCTTGAGATGAGAAATATTTTGTGCAAGTGTCCTTAGAGAAGACAGGCAGGCAGGCTTAGACCTCCCAGAAAAACCTGCAAACCCTGCCGAGGTTCACTCCTTCTTGCAGTGAGGCAGTGAACTCCGTCTTGTTTCTGGTTGTTTCCCTTAAGGATTTGTGGAAATGATAACTACAAAATAGCTTCTCAGTTTGTGACCTTTGATCAAGCTTTGGTCTCCCTGCTAGGAAGATGTGGTCATGGGCACCCTGACCGTGAGGGAGAATCTGCGTTTTTCTGCCGCTCTGCGACTGCACGTCTCCGTGCCTCAGGTCGAGAAGGAGGCTCGAGTCAATCACCTCATTAAAGAACTGGGTCTCACCGAAGTGGCTGACTCCAAGGTGCTGCAGATAATCACAGCCTGTCACTCACCTGTCCTCTAACAAGCAGCCTGCCCCGGCAGATGAAGTTCGTTTTCAGCGATTCCCGTTGTGTTTTGTTGGTGGTTTTTTTGTTCCTCAGGTGGGCACGCAGATGACCCGAGGAATCTCAGGAGGAGAGAGAAAGAGGACAAACATCGGCATGGAGCTGATCATCGATCCTGCTGTCCTATTTCTGGATGAACCGACCACCGGGCTAGACGCAAGCACTGCTAACTCTGTCCTGCTACTGCTGAAAAGGTGAGAAAACCCGGACTCTCTCTAATTTCTCAGATTTTTTTTTAAAATAAAGTAAAATCTTGAGCTTCTGGGCTTTAAAGGATTTTTAAAAGTGTCTCAAGCTAAATTCTGGAGTTTGGTTAACTTTAAACAGAAGCTTATCACTTTACATAGAAGAATTACAGCAGGAAAACTGCTGCTGTTTGCTTCTACTTTATTTAGATCAATTTATTGTGGTGCCTATTGATTTTTTTACTGTGTTATGTGTCTTTTCAGAATGGCGAGTCATGGTAGAACCATAATTATGTCCATCCACCAACCTCGCTACTCCATCTACAGACTGTTTGACACTCTCACACTGTTGGTCGGTGGTAAAATGGTGTACCACGGACCAGCACCAAACGCTTTGGACTACTTTGCCAACATCGGTGATTACACTGACTAAACAGTAACATCACAAGACACTTCTTTACAGTTTTCTTTAATTTATGAAGTAAATAAATGTAGATGGATGTGCAGCTTCTAAAAAAGCTGCAGGGTCACTATATGTATAGGATTTGCTTTGATATTGAGCTGCAACATTGTGATTTCTGTTCAAGGCTATGCCTGCGAGGCCCACAACAACCCAGCTGACTTCTTTTTGGATGTGATTAACGGAGACTTCACCGCCACAGCAATGACCAAAGTGCACGGCTCTGAAGGTAGCGGCATAATTAACCATCCATGAATATTCAGTCAAGTTTGTATCACATCTCCTGGTTTAATAGAATAACAACAAACAAACATATCCTGTGCAAATGTGCCCATTTCTTTGCATTTTTCTTTGATTTTGCAACATCCACAAAAAGGCACGATACAATAAAGAAGATACAGTATTTTTACCTGGAACTTTTTATTAACAAGTTATTTAAAGTGTTTTAAATTTGACATGTATAGTGATTAGAACAACATGTCAAACGCACAAATTAGAGTTGACAGAGTAAAACAGGAACACAGATGGTTTTTACTGGACCTCATAACGTCTTAATTTTTGTTAACATTTTCTGCAAGTGAAAAAATTTCACGTGAAAACGTAAGCAGAAAAAATCAGGGATTCCTTCACATCCATGGGAGATTTTGATAAAGTCATGTAGAAAACAGCTGAAGTCGTGGCTGCTAAAGGGGGTTCTACAAGCTGTTGAATCGTGGGGTGTACATAGTCGACCATTAACTCTATTCTAGAGTCAAACCTGTATATAAAGTGCCAGAGTGAATTGGTGCTATAAACATAAAATATAACTGAGTGGGTTTTTTTGTATTTGTGAACAGATTTGGACTTCAAGGAGCTCAGTAGCTCCAGGCAGAGCATCGAGGAGCGCCTGGTGGATGAGTACAGGAACAGCGGTTACTCCAGCAACACACGAGCCGAACTGGAACGCATTGTTAAAGATAAGCGCTGTGGGTCCCTCCCAAAGTCCCGCACCATCACCTACAACAGCTCGTTCTTTCACCAGCTACGATGGGTCCTTCACAGAACATTTCAGAACCTCATGTTGAACCCCCAAACATCTGTGGCCCAGGTAAGCACGTACACCATCGTCTTTTAGGGCACGCGTTCGACTTTCAGTGCCACTCTCGTGTCTGTCAGCTGAACATAAAGCTCATTAGCTGGTGAAGACTTTTACCAACTATTTTGTAGCTATATGGGTAACTTTAAATAGTTAATTAGTGACAGGTTTAAACGTAAGTATGTTTAAAAATAAAAGCATACACTGTTCCAAAAAATAGTAATGTCAAAGTATCTTACTGTATATTTTACAATTTTGTACTGTCTTTCTAGAATATCATGAAATTTACATAGGTAGACTGTGATTTTACATGTCAAAGGTAAAATAACATAACATCACTGTAAATATAGTAAAACACAATTTACTTGTTTTTTAAATATATATTTTTTGTACATATGTATATTTAGATTGTAAAAATACATTCAGAAATGTATCATAATTTCACAAATATTTGTCTGTTAAATTCAAATGGAAAAATATATAAAATGATAGAAAATTAATGAGAATAATCAATAATTAAAGGAGTATTTGAAATTAAATTTTGCTGAAAATTTCATGTCATCTAGGTCTGATTCAATAATTCAGAGGTAACAAGTGAAAATATAATTAATAGGAATAAAAACAAAAAAAAACATATAAAACATTGCCCGGCCACGCTGTGCTAATTATATATTTTAAAAAATAAATGTAGAGGTAGGAATTGCAATTAATATAAATCTCAAAGTATTCACAACATTCCTGAACAGAAATAGGCCTCTGCACCTGGGTGAGGGTGTGGCCATGAAAACAATGTGACATGCCATTGGATGTTGGGACACATAATAACATGACGCTAAGCATCGGCCAATGAATGTGAACTAACAACTACAAGGTCGCGGGTATGGCTGCACTGTAGGAAAAAATCCTAATATGAAAGTATTTTACTGCATTTTACAGTTTTGTTCTGTTCTTCTAGAATATCATTAACGTTACGTAAATAGACTGTGAATTCACATTTCGAATGTAAATTAACGTTAAATCACAGTAATGTAATACAACATAATATTCATGATTGCCGGAATATTACCGTTTTTTTAGGATTTGTTTTTTTTCCTATTTATAGATAATTTCATTGTTTAATCACATTAACATGTTCCTGTTAACGTTTAAGATCACTTGAAAAGGCAAGATCCCATGTAAAATTAGCGCAACAAACTGTATTGTCATTACTGGAAATAACCGTATTTTTATGAGGAAGTTATTTTTTGTTATTTTACGGTAGTATTTTGGCCCCCCAGCTGCCAGAATATTACCGTTTTTTAATATGGTTTTTTTTAACAATGTACATTGTATTGGCCCCATCATCGTGAGCAGGATACGCAGCGTGTTAGAGGGGTCACCTTTATGCCCCCATTAGTCGCCCCATGGCGGCAAAATGCTGTCAGAAGTCTCCTCACTTTAAGAATTATTAACAGCTAATTGGTCCTAAATAAGTCAAAAATAATCCTTCGAGAAGGTTCCTTGGTGGCGTGGGTGCTGTAATCAGCTTTGGTGACTGTTGTGACCCCACTCCTGCCTCTTTGGGCCTGAACCTGAACTGATATCATATCTACCCAAAGCCCCTTGGCCCCGGTGTGGGAGTCATCACATGATGGCATCATGACCTATCCCGCCGCTGCCCAGCTTCCACATGAGGGACTGAGGGGAATGAGGTGAAAAAGGCTCAACCTTACTGGCTTATCCCTTCACCCTGGGAACCGCTTAGTCCTGTCATAACCTGTAAATAGTTTCAGCTTAAAACATGTCTTGCTTTCACCTTTTTTCCCCTCCATTCAGTCATCTCACCCCAGGATCAGTTCAGGAGGACATAACCTTAGCATTTTCTGCTCACTTCAGTCCTTTGTACCCATGTTTTTGTTTTGTTTTTTACCCCCAAAAGTTGAATTTAGTTTTTCCATAAACACAAACACAAACTGGTAAGTTTGGATTAAACTGGACTTCAGGAGGTTTTAAGGTTTTTTATATAACAACATATTGAATGTGTATGTTGTAGGCACAGAAGTCATCACGTTGTCTAAATCTCTTACGCAGCTGGGAGTCAACGTTTTCCTCGCTCTCATCGTGGGAGCCATTTTCTTTGGGGTCAAAGATGATCTGAGTGGTATTCAGAACAGGTGAGAGAACTGCTCTCAACAGTGAGCTGGAGTCACATAATAATATTTTACAAAATGTTCTGAGTATGTAATGTGACTGTCCTGCTGTCATCTCCAAAAAAAACCAAACATCTTCATGGCTAAATAATTTGTACTTTGATCATTTTAATGTTGTGTGTTATTTCTTTATTTAAAGGATTCCCATTGTCTAAATGCCACAGCAGCTAATCAGCTAATCGCTCTCACTTATAATACTTATTACATGGGTGTAATTTAGCTGGTTTAATACATATGGCACTCCATGAAATGCATGTAATAATGTAAAGCTCACACAGCAAAATTCCTTTTGTCTCTCATCGTCTGCAGGCCAATAAATACCTCAACATACTCTTATAAAATCGATGTTTTTATTAACTGTCACATTAACACAGCCCTCGGCCTGTTACTGCAGTATGACTGTTACTTCCCCATCGGGTCTTGCAGTTATCGCAGTAAACCATCTGATTTAGAGGAAATGTCGGCACGTGTGAGTGAACAGTGCAGCTTAAAAAATGCTCGCCTCCATAGTCGGGCTGTGAGACGCAGCGATGTGGTTCAGATATGGGTTTAATACACTTGTAAAAGGTTCATTTAAGACAACAAACCAGTCAGCTAACATGAAAAATGTCAACCTAAGATTTGACGCTTCAGTCATAAAATGTTTAAGCTATATTCATGGCTTGGTTTAGTAATGCTTCGTTGATCGCTTAAGCCTGTAAAATAACATTTGGGTTGCCAGTTTGTAGAGTGTCTTTCTTTAGCATGGTACTTCACTTGAAGACACAGTGTGTCTTTGCTTCCCTCTTTCCAGATTTCTTGTGTGTGCCTCATGTCAGCGAACTGAGCGAATCCAGCAGCATTCGTGAGGAAAATTACTAATAAGCAATTTATTAATTGTTTGGACTCTACATATTTTATAGATGATGTTTTCCACAATATGTAAACCCCAAAACTCTTTTTTTAATGCGCTGCAACTACAAAAAATCTATATCGATGGGCAAATGTTTAAATTAGTAGCTTTAGTAGCATTTATTTTTATTAGTAAGCCGTTGTTTTAAACTGGACTTCTTTTATTGTTTCATTTTAGGTTGTTTTGTTTTTATTTTTTTAATACTATGCGTTTACACGCTAAAGGCAACATGTTTCCCCATAAATGTTCAGGTCAGTGACCGCTTCTGGTGAAAAAGTGTGAAAGGTAATTCCCGCTCGGTTAATCCTCTTACTGTTTTTTATTGGGCACAACCTGGTACTCGCAAGTCCAGCGAAGCCCATCAGAGACCTCAGTGGTCTCTCTTTTTCCTTTCAGTAGTGTACAGGGACCTAATGTGATTATATTCAAGGTCAGTGCACATGCAGAATGGCAGACAGCCTATACGTGGCTTAAATGTCTCAAGTTTCTCACCCCTCCTTCATCTTTGCTTGGTGTAGGGGCTAATATTGGGGCAACAACAATCAGCATCAACAGTCAGCGTAGGAAAATCAGCAATGAGGGAAAAAACCCAGAAAACAAACGCAAAAGAAATTTGTGAGGAGTCGTGTGAAATATTGCTCAGATTGGGAGTCTGTGCTCAGGACATCGGTGACAAACTACTGCAAACATTTTCAAGTTTTCAAAGGTCACGTTACAGTATGTAAGATCTTTAGTCTTTATTCTGCTCTGAACATGACTGTTTTCTTAACAGTTCAGTACTGTGCTGAAATTCTTGAGCCGCCACTCACTTCTTTATGTTTTGGTAAGAAAATGTGAAATAAGTACAGTGATTTGTGCAAACTCCATACAGTATATTCCTGTACAGAGTTTGTACAATTCCCCATACTGAAAAGTCAATATTTGGTCTGACTACCATTATTCTTCTACACAGCCTGAACTCCTTTAGGCAAGCTTTCTTACCATTTCTTTAAGTTATCTTTGGGGATAGTTCTCCGGGCTTCTTGACGGACATTCAAAGGTCTTTGGATGTTGGCTGGCTTTTGTTCTGTTCTCTGTCAACATTATAATGACGAAGTCTGGGCTCCAATAGTTCCCCAGGCTTTCTGAAAGACCTTCAGAAGATCTGGAGAACTATTGCTCAAGAAACTCTGGCTCTTTGAAGGCAAAATATAAGGAAATGAGGAGTGGCTCAAGACTTTTGCACAGAGCTGTGTCTTTGCTTCTGTGTTGATTGACAGGTTGGAGTCTCATGTTATTTTTTTTCTAAGACTTTTCCTGGCAAGCATCCTATACAGGTCTTATCTGTGCAGTCTCTTTTTGAGTATAGCGTGCACTTTAAGTGTTGTGCTGTCCGAGAGGTTCCAATTCCAACTTTATTTATACAGCACCAAATTACAAAAACAGTCGCCTCAAAGCGCTTTCTATTCCAAGGTAGACCCTACAATAATACCTACAGAGAAAAACCCAACAATCACATGACCCCCAGTGACCAGACTTTTGCTTTTCTGATTGCTCCAGGATGGGCGCCCTCTTCTTCATCACTACCAACCAGTGTTTCAGTACTGTGTCTGCTGCCGAGCTCTTCATCACTGAGAGGAAACTCTTTGTGTAAGTTCTCCATCAGGACGCCGTATACGTGTGTGTGTGTGACTCTAGATTGAACTGTTGCTTTATGTGTTTCTCTCGTGACAGGCACGAGTACATCAGCGGCTACTACAGAGTGTCTGTCTACTTCCTTTCTAAGATCCTGTCTGATATCGCTCTGCGCACCGTCACCTCTGTTATCTTCAGCTGTGTTGTCTATTTTTTGATTGGTGAGACTTTTAGCTATTTAACTATTTTAATTTTTGCATTTAAATTTAAATAAATGACATCAGTGTGTAAAAGCGCACAAAACTGTGTGTCCAACCAGGGCTCAAATCCACAGCAGAAGCCTTTTTTGTCTTCATGCTGACGGTGACTCTGGTGGCTTACACAGCCACAGCCATGACCATGGCCATCTCAGCTGACCAGAGTGTCGTGGCTCTTGCCAACATCCTCATGACCATCACCTTTGTCTTCATGATGGTAAGAGATACAGCAACCCCATGACCCACATAAATAAGTTGGAAGGGAGAAGGAGTAAAGATGACATCTCCGTTTTTTGTTTTAGGCAGCTTTAGGGTTTTTTAAAAAAAAGAAATGAGACATTTTAAACAGAAGACTCACTGATGACATAAACTCACTGGTCACTTTAACATCAGATGTGGTTATAAAGGGATGGAGATGGTCGGCCATGCTGGGGTGTGGTCTTATTCAAGGTTTGATATGTCGTGCATTCAGAGATGCTCTTCTGCACACTTGGACTGTCACGAGTTGGTTGCTGTTGCCTGCTCAGCGCAGTCTGACCATTCTCCTTTTACTTTTGGCATCAACAAAGCATTTTCACCCAGACCTGCCATTCACTGGATATTTTCTCATTTTTTGAGATTGCTGTGTGGGCAAAAATTCACTTCAATCACCTTTCTTTCCCATTCTGATGCTCAGTTTGAACTTCAGCAGGTCTTCTTGACCTTGTGTACTTGCCTAAATGCACCAAGTTGCTACTACGGGGGTTGACAAATTAAGTATAAGAACGGCAATGCCTAATGAAGTGGCCAGTAAGTGCATTTTAAATGATTGTTGATTGATTTCTTAATCAATAGCAAAATTTTCCAGAAAACATTGACTATTGAATCTATATCTGACTAAGTCTCTATAAGCAACACAGATATATTATCCGTATATTATAATGAACAATAGACAGTTATTCATCTACGTTTTACTGTCTGATAGTAAAAGCTCCCGTGAGACTAATGACATCCTGCATCTGGACTTTGAAACATTTAGATGTGTTTGTAATTCGTGTTATGTCAGCTCTACCCTCCAGAAAAAAGACATCTAAACTGACTTTGTGTCTGCTAGATTTTTTCAGGACTCCTGGTGAATCTACCCAGCACCAAAGACTGGTTGGCTTGGCTGAAGTACTTTAGTATTCCTCGTTATGGTCTTGCAGTAAGTCAGCATTAAAGGTTTTGACAGCAGACGATGCAGATATTTAGAGAAAGTAGCAGAAACAATTCAAAATTCAGACAGAGGTTATCACCTCAATGAAATAAATACACATCACAGACAACCTCCTTCACATATATGTTTTAGCAGTTTTAGTTTTAATTGTCTGTAAGTGTGTTTTTATTGAACTGGGGTTGGACCTGAACTGGGCTCTAAACTTGATGTTAGATGGCTGAATCCATAGACTTAAACAGACTTCTCTGATTTTAACTGTTGGGTGTTGCACGTTATACCAAACATACATGACCAAGTGGATAGCCTACTGATAATGCACTTTAAAAACCCCATGTATAGTAACTGTCATGTTTGAAGATGGAGCCAAACTCAAAGGAGAGGTTTAAGGCCAACAAACTAGGGACCAACTGACCACAAGCACAGCTAAAGACAGCGTGCATGAGACAAGAGACTTTAAAAATAAAACAGGAAGTTACTTTATATGGCAACATATACGTGAAAAGGGAGTTGAGACCCAAAAGAGAATAGCTACATTACATTTATTGTTTTAAAATGGAACAAATGATCTGCCAAACGCACCATTTTGTATTTAAATTGTTCTGCTAAGGATTTAATGCTCTGCCTCACCTGCTGTCTTTGTTCAGGCCTTGAAGATAAACGAATTTGTGGGTCTGAGGTTCTGCGAAGAGGTTGTAATCCGAAACAGCAACATGTCAGCTATGACAGCCAACTGCACTGTGAAAACAGCTGGCCAGACGTGAGTAATTGGTCCAGTTCTGTCTTACTGGTTAACAACATGTTGCATTGTGGCTCTAATATCTGACCAGTTTGAACATGCCTCATTTCAGATGCACAGGAGAGCAGTATCTGGAGTACCTGGGCATAGACTACACCTGCTGGGGTCTGTGGGAGAATCATGTAGCTTTGACTGTTATGATGATCATATTTCTCATCATTGCCTATCTGAAGCTTCGCTTCATCAAGAAATTTACTTAATGCGTTATCTGTTTTTTACTTTAATGTACCAGCACTGATAGATCTTGTGCTCAGAAATAGCACAATTAAAGCTACATTTATATATTGGGGGATTAGTTTTATTTTACACTGCCCTCATATCTTTAGCATATAATGAAGCCAAAAGAAAGTTAGAGTACAAGTGCAAATACTGAAATAAAAAGCTGAAAGCAGCCGAAAACAGCTAGCTAAACTTTTCTAGAGTTCACGTTTTTACCATTAGTCTCCCTGTAAAGCTCATAAAATCTTATTGTGTGTTGTGTTCAGCTGCTCATTAACCCTTTTACGCATAGTGGTCACTACAGTGGACAGCTATTCAAACACTGTTTTCTTGTATTCATATCAGTGTTGATGGTACACTTGCACATAAACCACTACATTGGACACTGATGTGTCACTCCATACCCTGCCGCTCACTCTAAAGGTGATGTTGTCATGTAAAAAACTATTTGAAAAATACACGTTTAAAAAATGAAGTTCAAAAATCTTTTTTTCATGCCTAAAGATGAATAAAAATACTGATTAAGGTTGTCCTAATCAATCACATGGTAGCAACTCAATGCATTGATGCATGCAGACATGAACAAGATGACCTGCTAAAGTTCACACAGAGCATCAGAATATAGAGGAAAGGTGATTTAACTTGAACATGAAATGGTTTTTGGTACTAAATGGATTGGTCTGAGTGTTTCTGAAGCTACTGATCTACTGGGATTTTCCCCACACAACTATCTCTAGGGTTTACAGAAAAAAGTCAGAAAAAATAGAAAATATCTATTGAGCAGCAGGTCTCTGGGTGAAAATGCCTTCTTGATCGCAGAGGTCAGACATTCAACAATATCCAACTTGTTAAAATCAAAGTGTACAGAAGAGCATCTGGAAATACACGACAAACCTTGAAGCAGGTGGACTACAGCAGCAGAAGACCACATCACAGCCTACCTGTGTTGCTCACCCTGTCCCTTTTGGATCGCAGTGTACCCATCTTCTGATGGCTGCTTCAGGCAGGATAACACACCATATCACAAAACTCAAATCATCTCAAACTGGTTTCTTTAACATGACAGTGAGTTCGCTGTGCTCGAATGACCTCTACAGTCAGCAGATCTGAATCCAGTACACTATATTTGGGACGTGGTGAAATGGGAGATTGATGTGAGCTGACAAATATGCAGCAGCTGTGTGATGCTATCATGTCAGTATAGACCAAAGTCTGTGAGGAAAATTTGCAAGCTCCTTTTTAAATCTCCCCAACAAAGAATTAGAGCAGCTCTGAAGGCAAAAGGGGTCCAACCCAGTACTAGCAACCTAGTGGAGATGCCAGTGTGTGTATTTATTGTGCAGATATAAAAGTACCAGTATACCAAGTGAGCAAGTATGGCTGTTTCCCAAAATATCAAAACCTAGTTGTTGGTTCCTTTGTTTACTGTTATATAAGTTTAGTCTGGATAAAATCTTTGTGGGTATAAAAAATTGTGAGTCCAAAACAAACTAGACAGAATATTTTCAAATTATAGGATCAAATTGTGAATTTTCCAAAGTGAAAAAGTGTAGAAATTAAAAAGTATACTGGCCTCAAAGTAAACTTTCAAAGCTGTTTATTAATATTTACTTCTGCAGCATTTGTCAGTTTGTGACTTTTTCCCAATACCTTTGTAACCCAGTTGTTTTGATTAAAGTTTCCAAATTATACTTATTTAATTGTGCTATGAATTTTTCATAATATAATTAAAAGCTGATCATTTGTAATTGTAGACATTAAAGCGTTACATTAAGTGGCTTTATCTGTTTTCCAAAGCAAAACTCTGTAATACATTTATACTCTGTTAGTTTTTTCATACCATGTATAAAGATCTTCATGTAACTTTTGGTCTTGTGTTTTTTTATTATTATTAATGCATTAATTATTATTAATACAGTTATAAACCTTAGTGTAGTTACCACACACCAAAACCATGATATAAATTCTCCTGAAATAAGAAACATTTTTTTTTTTTGCGTAACTTTAAATCAGTGTATATGGAAGAATTTGAAGTACAAACCAAATTTTGGTTACTGAAAACCTTAAAATGTGTAAAATATCTTTTAATTTAACCTCATTTGCAAATAAATGTCAATGTACTAAAACTGCTGCATCTAAACTTTCTCGTTCTTACACAAATCCAAAATGACTTTTGGCCTACTTTTCAGTTCACTCCAATTTTATTTATATAGCACCAAATCACAGCAACAGTTTCCTCAAAGCGCTTTAATTTGTATGGTAAAGACCTACAAATAATACAAGGAAAACCCAATAATCACATTACCGTCTATGAGCAAACACTTGGAGACAGTGGAAAAGAAAAACTCCCTTTTAACAGGAAGAAACCTCCAACAGAACCAGTCTCAGGGAAGTTTGTGGGTGCAGTTTATTTTCTGTTCAGATCAGTAGACAGTATGACTATTATTTGATTCTGCTTTGAAATAATGACTCATCTGTAATACTGTATATAATATGTGATTTCTCTCTCTTTTTATATATATGTTTTCTTGTAAAGTGAGATAAAACCAAGTGAAGTCCCCCTGATGTATTATGATAACACTTTATTTGGCACAACAGATTTCTTTTTGTTTTTTTTAAAAAAAGGAAAAATAATGCATGGGTTTCCCATGAACACTGGATGCACTCCAAATCGAAGTTTGTTTAAAGTTACAATATGTATCATAAAACGATAAGCTAATTCATTGGAAGGATGAGTAAATGTGACAGGAAGTGCCACGCTTGTACCTACTGCATATTAAAATGATGAAAAAAGTAATCAGCAACATTATTATTCATAGAAAGGGCTTTTGTGTAAATGCTAATAATTGTGCATACAGCGATCGAAAGCATGTAATATTAAAATCATACACTGAATTCTGAATATACTTGCTCGCTGGTACATGCGTGTGTAATACTGTGGTGTAATGATTAAATCCTTCACTGTTCCTCAGCACCTTGTCTGTTTTGTTTACCTTTCGTCATCTGTCAAAATAATACGTGAGACTGAGTAAAGACCCTTTGCATGTGACAGCCTCTCTCTTTCAGTGCATTTGTGTATACCAGGTGAGGTGCATTTGACTTCCTCTCTAATATGTCGAGTAAGTTAAACACCTTCCATGAGCTTTAGCAAATTCTGCTGCAAAACAAAGACCCACATATTAAGTTAGGATCCAATAAAGTTTCTTTGCAGAGTTCAGCATGCCAAGTCTTCACACATGGCCGCTCCCATTCACGCCTGTGTCGAGGCCGTCGGTGGACAAGGACGAGGAAGGGCGAGGCCGCGGGCCAACAGGAGTGGCCGGCTGTGGGTGGCTGACCTGTGAGACCATATCATCGGACTCCCAGCGCTCCAGTTCCTCCCTGACGAGCCTTTCCATCTGCTCTCTGTGTGTGTCTGTGTCCCGCCCCAGATGTTCATCCTGACAAACGGAAACAGATTAAATGTCAAACTATGTTAATGTCAGCTCAACTCACACGTATTCATCTCATGAATTTATCCAGTTAACTTATAATAACTCATTCTGAGCTTCTTCCTGAATGTAAGGCAAGTATTTAAAATAAAAGACTCTTGCTTAAATCCTAAATGTTCGATAGTGTTCACCACAGTGTTCATCGCTGTTCAAGGGAATGACTGAGAGTGATGAACCAAACAATAAAAAATCCCTAAAAACCCCAAAAACTAGAATACAGTTTTAAAACTCAACTGAGGGGAGCTGCAGGGTGCAATTCAACCAAAAGTCAACACTACAAATGATGCATTCAGTCATGTGATAACATTATTAACATAATAACATATTAACACCTCACCTCCATGACTCCATCCAGCAGCCTGCTCACCACGTCTCTTCTTTTAAGATTAGCTCTCTCCATGACTTCCAGCTTGACAATCACTGAATCGATCTTCGACACTATGCTGCCGATAGAGTGCTCCATCCTGTCCACACGTCTCACCAGCCTGCACAACAAAGAATGATTTTCTCTCTTGTTGTTAAATGTCATATAGCGCTGCAGCTGCTATCACTCAGAACAGCATGAAATACTACGACGTGACACACAATACCCATTTTTGCCTGCCAACATTAGCTGATGAGTTTAGCTGATGACAAAATTAAATCATTATTACATTATCAGTCTTTGTGTACAGCACGTGTTGGCAGATATGCAAAGGGACGATGCTAACACATCTGCAGTAATACAGATGCAGTTTCGCTAATGTCCAGTGCTGCATATACACCGATCGGGCATTTCTTTATCATGGCCCCTGTTAGTGGGTGGGATATATTAGGGAGGAAGTGAACATTTTGTCCTCAGAGTTGACGTGTTAAAAGCTCAAAAAATAGGCAAGCATAAAGATATGAGTGAGTCTGACAAGGGACAAGCTGGACAAAAACTGCAGCTATTGTGATGTGTTCCTGGTCTGCAGTGGTCAGTAACTATCAAAAGTGGCCCAATGTGAACCAGTGACAGGATGATAGATGGTAAGGCCAAAATGATGCATGTGGGGAGTGAAGGCTGGCCCCATGCATGTGGTGTGATCTGATCCAGCAGATGAGCTACTATAGCTTAAATTACTGAATAAGTTAATTCCCCAGATCTCAGTCCAATCAAGCATTTGTGGGATGTGCTAGACAAAGTACTCCGATTCATGGAGGCTGCACCTCGTGACTAACAGAACATAACGAATCTGCAGATACCACACCTTTAGGGGTCTATTGGAGTCCATGTCTCAATGTTATGTTATGCCTGATTGATATCTATTTATTGTCATCAACTAGAGATGGACCGATCCGATATTACGTATCGGTATCGGTCCGATACTGACCTAAATTACTGGATCGGATATCGGAGAAAAATAAAAAATGTAATCCGATCCATTAAATATCACGAAAGCACCTCACAAAACTTGCAACACGCCGTAACTCACCTCAGAACGTTAGCACGTCGGAGCAGTATGCATCACGTGATAGAGCGGCTGTGGCATGCGGGACCTGTCGGTGGTCTGGATAGCATTTGGAGCTTCGCTAGCAACCCGGCATTTCATCTCCGACAAAGTTATCCCCGAGAGAAGTAAAGCAAGTGTGTAAGTCCATCTCTGAATGTTTGTAAAGCATTCCTGCGTTAAGCTTAACAAGCGACTGCCTCTTCTTGCTGCTACTTCAATCATGAAACTGCTTAATGATCAGCTGATCGGCTTTTCTGTCGCGAGTCCGTCTCTCTGTTTGTTTTTGGCCCACTTTGCACCAGAAAGAGGAAACCAGCGGCTGAACAACAGCAGCACGTTTAAGCTTGATAAGCTGTTGTTAGAATTTATTTAATATTACTTTCTACACCAGGATCTTTTTCTACGTAGCTGACGCTGGTAACTGTGCAGGGGCGGATCTAGCAAAGTTTAGCCAGGGGGGCCGATAGGGCATTAACAGGGAAAAGGGGGCACAAAGACATACTTTTCTTTCTTATTCTCATTTAAAATGTCTAGCTTTTAATAAATAATTATCTGACACCCAAAGTTTTAATTTGATGTAAAATGAATAGAAGTCAATTACTGTATATAGTGACTATTAAGTCTAATATATATACCCTAGTAAGCTATAGTACTTTTTCCTTTGGGAAGGTACCATCTGTGCAGTCTGCAATTTTGTTGAAGAAAGATGTTGAATCTATTTAATATTTCTTGAAAAATAATTGATTTCTGTGCATTTTTTTCACACTGCATCAAATTAAGGTTGATTACGTGATTAAGCATCATGAGGTGGAGCGTGAGGGGTGGTTCCCTATTTTTTATTTATTTATTTTTGTTGTTGCTGGGAGTTGGAACCCTATTAGTTAGGTTGCTTAATATTTACGCTAAGTACTCTTTAAAATACCAGAATAGGGAGGATGGTGTAGGTCTAAGTTTATTAGATTGATCAGTATTGCTGAACTATGAAATATTTTTTTTTTTGATACAGGTATAACAGAATAGCTTTAGTGTAGTTGTTGTTTTAAACTTGAGTATGAACTTATACAAAATGCAGCAAGATATTTAAAAAAACAGTTTTGTTGATTAAAACACACTATATCGGATTCATATCGGTATCGGCAGATATCCAAATTTATGATATCGGTATCGGACATAAAAAAGTGGTATCGTGCCATCTCTATCATCAACCACATAAATTTAATACAGTAGAGTTGTAGTTCACTGACAGGCACAGCTACTGTTACAAAGAAATATTTAACTTACTATAATAAATACTGACAGTTAGAGCTGGGCGATAGAACGATAACGATATGTATCGCGATATAACTTTTACTCGATAGAGAAATTAAGCTATCGCGATAGACCTCGCCGCTCTTGTCCTCAAAAAAAAAAAAAAAAAAAAAAGGTCAGCCAATCCAAATTAAGTAGCGCAGAGCCGAACCAATCACAGCCGCAGCGTCACGTCGCGTGACTTGTTACGTACAGCACAAGTGCCAAGCCGCACGTGTGTTTGTTTGGGAAGCAGCCAGCGGGTAATGGAGGAAATGAGTGTGCCGACTAGAAAAATCAACCGAGCGTGACCGAAGAGAAAACAGATGATGGTTCCAATGCCGGAGAGATTGTCGAACGGAAGAGCCATAGAAGTTCCGTAGTGTGAAGGTATTTCGGCTATTTCAAGTCTGACAAAAAACAGAGTAGCGTGCACTGTAAATTGTGCCGAAAGCAAGTCTGGAAATACAATAAACTGGTGCATGCGTCACACTGTGCGCCACGTTATTGTTTCGGTGAAATGAATTTCTACAATACTGTTACTGTTAATTCTACTCTCTGCAGTGTTTAAATGCTTACATATACACACAGTTACTGTCCGTCCACACATACGACTCGGTTCTGCTTCTATGCCCCAGCTTTGTTTACTTTTTCCCACCGAGGCTTCTAGACTTCTGATTGGCCAACATTTCTGCACGGTTAGGAATCTAGCGCCACCTGCTGCTTTGGCATGTTCATAGCAGCGTTTTCCTTCATTTCTGCCTTTATGTGTGGACGGGATTATTTTTTAAAACGAAAACGGAAAATCTCCGTTTTCAAAAATACCCGTGTACGTGTGGACGTAGCCTCAGTCTCTGACTGGAAGCGCTAATTCGTCATTCGGCTTTTGTCAGACTAAAGTAACTGTTAAAACTGTTTGAAAAGCTAAGCTATACAACAAGGAGAGATTGAGAATTTCCTTTTAGTTCTCAGTTTATTTGATATTGACAAAAGTTAGTCAGTTTTGTCTGTTCTTCTGTAAAACAAACTAAGATTTATTTTTAGAATTAATATTTTGTTTCTAAGTGGAATTGACAATTTAGTCTGTTTCGTTTGTTCTATTTTGAAACTTAAACGCTTTAGCGGCTGCCTTTTGTGTAGTTTGCAATATTTGCCTTTATTTATCTGAAAAAGTCTCATGTTCCTTAAGTACATCTACCCTGTTGAACTTATTATGGGAAATAAATATTTAAATAAAAACAAGCTGCTGATTATTTTACTTGTGAGCAACGGCACATTTAAATCTTACAAATATAGTTATTTGGCTTATATCGTGATAGATATCGTTATCGACTGAAATGAAAAAAACATATCGTGATATGAAAAAATCTCATATCGCCCAGCTCTACTGACAGTTAACAAATCTGTAATAAATCTGGACCTTAGATCTAAACTTGAACTTGCAGCTTCTTGTTGTTGTTGTTTTAGTTTCTGGAATTGACAATAAACTTCGCCTTTAGTCTGTCCAACACTCTTAGGAAATCTGTCATGACTATGTGTTCATTAATATAATAAAAATATATTTAAAAAATAATTATTTGTTCCTGGCAAAATGTTTTCATGCAGCGCAAGTTTAACCTGTACTTCAGGATGTTCCAATGTTTCACAATCACCAAAAACTGTCATCAATTAGACTTCATTCCATGCTTACATCCAGTTATCACCATGGTCCTTTCTCTACTAACTGAGTCTGCCCAGCAGTTTATTTATTATTATTATCTCTTTAAATATCATTTACTGATAAATCTGAGGAAGGAAAAAAAAAAACTTCATACACTTGAAACTCCTCATACGAGACACCCCCAGAGCTGCTACCACGACGTCGAGAGCTGTGACCACTGTCCTCATCGTCGTCCTCCTCTGAGTCATCCTGGGTACGAGGGAAGCTCCGCCCACTGCTGGGTCGAGTCAGCGAACTGCGTTCCAGATCCAAGTCCTCCTAGCGTATGAGCAGAGACACACTGAACATCTGCTGTTGTGGCTGCATTGTTGCACTTATGTGCAGATTGTCTGATCAGTTACTGAAATAACACTCTTTTCTTGTTTTACCAAATGGTAAAAATAAAAGCTTGGGGCTTCACTCACTCTCTCTTTCTCCAGGTCATCTCTCATTTGCTGGTGTTCATGCTCTGTCAGCTCCTGATCACCATCCTGATCGTATTTGGCAAAGATGGCCTGAATCTCTGCATCTGTGTGACCCTTTCTGATCAAATTAAGAGACAGTACACACTGAAGACAGGCTGCATGAGTGTTATATTCAACAAACTGAGCACAACAACTCTGAGGGATTTTAGCAGAATTAGAGTTTCCTCACCCTTTTAGATCCTGACGGAGTTCATCAAAGTTCAGTTTCCCCCCAGCTTGACGCAAACCGTCTGAGATGTCATCTACCGCTGTCTTCTTTAGTCTCAGCTTCATCAAAGCTTTGTTACAACTCTGAGGGAAGGAAACCAGAGAAATATTTCAAATTACATTTACAGTAATATAAATGAGTCTCTTCCATAATATACTGACAGCGACAGAGGGGGGAAGAAACAAAGTACAAATACTTCATTATTGTACTTAAGTAGAATTTTCAGGTACCTGTACTTTACTTGAGTAGGTCTTTTTTCTGACAACTTTTTACTTTCACTCCCTACATTTTGAAACAAACACAGTGTGTTGCTAGATGCACTGATCGGGGACCACTTTTAATTTTGTTGTACCTGTGACAATGACAATAAAGTTATTCTGATTCTGATTAAACGTCCAGCAGGGAGAGAAAAGAAAGCGCTAACTTCACTCAAAGATGGAGAAAGATAAGAAAGACAGGAGAGGAAGACGAGGTTGGATTTAAATGTAAGGACTGCTCAGTGGGATATCATAAACTGGAACTTTAAAGCTTACATGTAAGTCCTCTTGTTTTAAAATCAAATATTGTGTCTGTCCATGTGACATGTGTTTTCACATTGTTACACATGCTGCAAAAAACAGAGGGAGACTAAATGTGTTGTTTAAAGATTGAATGAAAAGACTCTGCAGTTTAGTGCGGGATAAACAGGTTACTTTGCTGTACTGTGGTGGATTTAAAGGTTCTCCCACCTGCTGAATCCCATTTTAGCCTCTTCCCTACTAATTTTCTAGTTTAGAGGCAAAGTCTCTACAATGGAGGAAACAGAAAATAGTGCTATTTTTTTATACTTTGAGTACCTTTATTAGAAATACAATGTAGAATGAAAGAAAGTTTGTATTTCTATGTACTAATATTATTTTATAATTACATTATACATAGGGCGATCGTGGCTCAAGAGTTGGGAGTTTGCCTTGTAATCGGAAGGTTGCCGGTTCGAGCCCCGGCTCGGACAGTCTCGGTCGTTGTGTCCTTGGGCAACACACTTCACCTACCGCCTATTGGTGTTGGCCAGAAGGGCTGATGGCGCAATATGGCAGCCTCGGCTACAACTGTAGCTTGCCTCCACCAGTGTGTGAATGGGTGGGTGGATGACTGGGTATGTAAAGCGCTTTGGGGTCCCTAGAGGGGACTAGTAAAAGCGCTATACAAATACAGGCCATTTACCATTAGTATAATACAAGGTTCAGTTAGCTTAGCACAAAAATAACTGGTAGAAAGGTCCTTCAAAGAGCTACTTTGAGTACATTTTAGAGCCTGTACTTTTTTACTTTTACTTGAATAAAGAAGTTGACTCAATGCTTCAACTTTTACTGGAATATTTTTTAATACCCTTTAGTTATACTTAAGTACAGAATGTCTGTACTTCTGCCACCTCTGAACAGCAATAGAAACACATAACTGCAGTCCTACCACTTTTTCTCAGCAAGGAAAGCCTGAAAAACCTCACAAAAAGCAGAAAATACTGCCCACCCAACACTCCACACATGGTTCAGATAGATTCAAGAGAAAAGCATCAGTCTTTTTGTTAAAACTACAAAGCAGAGTTTTTACACTTGAATGCACCACAGCAAGACCTGATGTCTGCCCATTTTCCGCATAACATCATCATTATGAAACTTAATTTCTTGTGACTGGCTGCTCTTTGCATTTCTTTGAAGACAGAAGTTGTGCTTTAAAGCCCCGCCCCCATCTCAGCCACATCCAAATTCACAGCTCTGACGTCCGGAGTTTTTACTTCCCACTAACTGATGAAATGAAAGTCATGGTTCTCCCTATTTATTTAGATACAAGCTTCGACATAACAGCCCAGATTCGTTCCAAGGTGCCTGCTCAGGTGAGAGGACATGGTCTAACTGATCTTTAATATGAGCATCAAACAACATCACAGTAAATATACAACAGACGACAAAGTGTGTCATAATACTTCCCCTGTTAAGATTCAGTCACACCCAAGAAATCACACTTTCAGGTGTACATGCTTATACTTATTATTATTATTATTATCAAAGCCAAAACCAATTTAAAAGAATTCTGCCTTAATAACAAATAACAATGAAATAGAAATGTTGTTCAATACCTTCTTAATAAGGTCTGTCATTTCCATCTCAGACCTCTGTTGGGACATGTCAGCCTTCACCTCAGAGTATGTGTCATTAATAATAGCCAAGAACATGTTCTATGTAAAAAATAAAGAGAGAAAATATTGTAGGATAACTGAGCATTAATTTTAAAACCCAGAACAAAGGTTACTTATTTAACAAATCACGTGGATTCTCTACTTACCATGAGAATAAAGAAAATGAAGAAGACAAAGGTTGTAAAGTATATAGGTCCAACAACTGGATGAGCTTCTTCAATTTCTGAGAAGTTAAAGTCTCCCAAAATGATACGAAACTGGGTAAATCTATGCAAACAAACAAATAAAACATTTTAAACGACAATAGGAAACAACACTGGTTTGAGGTGTTCCTACATTCATTAGCTAAATTTTCAAGGCTCTTACATGCTGGCTTGGAAAGTGCTGAAATCATTGACTTGAGTTCCAAACACCAAGTAGGCCAGCTGAGCGTAAGCCAAGAAAATGATGAAGAACATGATGGCAAAACCCATGAGGTCCTTGGCACAGCGAGACATGGTGCTGGACAGCTGACTCATGGTCTTATTGAAGTTGATGAACTTAAAAAGCTGAGAGGAAGTGAGACAGTGTTCGCATTAGTCGACTCTGCTGCATTGGTAAATTCCACTAAGTGTTCCTTGAAGGTCTCTTGGATGAATAATGAAGTAAAGGAAGAAGATTTTTTTTACCTTGACCCAGGAAAAGAAGACAATAACCGCAGCCATGTTGTTAAACTGAACCTGCAGGTTGGCTAAAGGCTCAAAGCTGGGGTGAGCAGTGTGGTTCTCCAACAGGCCTCTCAGCAGGTTTCCAACCATGGCTGTTCTCGTTATGTTCATAATAATGGCAACAACGCTCAACTGAAAGAAACAAACAAGTGAAAGTCTGTGAATATCAAATCAAATCAAATTTGTAATCATCCTAAAATTAATCTTGATACCCACCGTGACAATAAGAACATCGAGACAGTTCCACAGGCTCTTGAAGTAATGTAGGCGGTGGATGCGGATCTCCAACACTTCCTCCACCACATAATAGAGAATGAATAGGCAGAAAGCCACTTCACACATCCCAACAAAATAGTCCCAGCTGGACACGTATCGTATCAGTCGCACCGTCTGGAACTGCCAAGAGGTCACTACGCCACCAGTAGCAGGGAACTCTGCCAGCAACCTGACAAATGCACCACATTTAGTCAGCTATTGCAACAGTAGCTGGCATTGTTATGTTGTGGAAACAAATCAAACTAAAGTGTGTAAATCAAGAATCTGGCTGATGATAAGTCAGGAAGGAGCATGATTAGGTCTAATCCTCATTAACAATGGAAGGCAAAGTAGATTTAAGTTGGTGAGTATTTTCCTCAGCAACTTCCTTCTTGGATTTAGCCATGTGTATACATCCATACTAGTCACCACCATTGAGGTTCAGCAAAGTAATGTGGATAGGCACCGGGTGATAACCATATGCTACCACACACATTTTAGTTAACAGAATACTAAAAGCTTTTTACTTTTGTTAAATTCAGTTTAAATTCAAGAATCGAATCCAATAATAGGCAATTTGACCTAAGGGCATTTTTCACCATTTCTGCTTATAAAGACCTTAAAACTAATAGTCCAGTCATACAAGAGGAAAATCTAAAAAATGATATATTGAAAAGAGGAGTCTATAGTAAATTTATTCTGTGCTGCAATTAAAACTGCAAATTTATTTTTAGATTTACTTTATTTTATTTTCAAATTGTGAATTTTCAGTAGCAAACTCAGGAAACATTAAAATTAGGCATTTTCTTGAAGATATTTGTACCTACGTTTAACTATAATAATGATTTCAAAGTATGTTATCTGTAGTTTTGTTATTATAGTTTCAGCTCAATAAATCTGTTACAACCCAACATTATAATTTATGACAAGGCTATTGATTCTTACCTGGCGATGCAGAAAAGATTTATGTTGCTGTTGTAGACAGAGAAGTCGAGGAAGACTGCCCTAGTGCCTCTGTCCAGCCACAAGTGATCTTTCAGAACCTGCAGCTGGATGGCTGACTCCTCTTTGGTACGAGACAAGTCTTGGTAATATCCTCCACCTCCATATTTAGACACCTGACCTGAGTAACTGCTGCTATTCATCTCGCTTTCTGGGGTGTACAACCACCTGACAGAGGCCAAGAGAGAAACATACAGGATGTAGATAGTAATATATCTGCATCCCATATGATACAAATTCATGTAACCAATTTAAACTCATGAACTTACGCGGTTCCATTCTTGGGACCAAAGGGGGCAGTATCCTCATTGGTCAGGGTGTATAGGTTGTAGCAGTCCTGGACCTCATCCCTCAGATCTTCATGGACAGAGCAGGTCTCATTGTGGACCTTGACCTGTCGGAGGCGCGGCACTCCAAGAAGGAGGTTCTCGTAGTAGATAAGACTCTGATTCTCTGGCAGGCTCTTATTATTGTACCACACCTCCCAGTACATGCCATTGAGGAAAGGTCCCTCTGTGAACTGAGAGTATAGGGCAGACAAAAGCATGAAGAAAGATCTTTAATTCTTGTAATCAAAAGTGTGGTTTATTACTAAGTTTGCACTGATTGAACTGATGGACACCAACTTCACAAGACTAAAACTGCCATGCACTTTTAAAAAAATAAAGAAATAGTTCACAGATGAGATCAACACCACACTCACATGTATTTGATAAATATGAACCGAAAGTTAAAGTTTCTTAGCTTACAAACTAAAGATCAAGGTCAAACTTATTTATATAGCACATTTCCAACAGCTCATACTACATATACAAAGTACTATACAAACTAAAGAGCAACTAAACAAGGAAAATGCACGACAATGATGCAATAAAAACAACAACAACGAATAAAAACAACAACGATGACTGAAGCTGTTAAACAAGTAATATATTTCTGTAACGCACAAATACAACCCCTGGGATAGGACCAAGTCCAGTATGTGTCCTTTTTCATGAGTGGGGACAGTGACCCACTGTGTCAGGTTAAAAGAGTCATTAACATTTAGAAAGTCCTTGACCAGGGATTTAGCATCACAGCAGACATGAATATTAAAATCACCACTATCACCAAATCACCAAAATCAGAAACTTCAAATGCATCTCATCAGTAGGGAGCAAATAAGCATTAGTTGAAAAAGTTGACTTTAAAGTACTCCTTTAAACATGACCTTCCTTTCTTGAGATGTTGTGAAATGATAACAAAACTGCAGAAAAGTAAAAGACATCAACGACAGGATGAATGTTACACTTTACCTTCCAGAAATCCTCCATGGTTGACAGGCTCCTAAAAGTAGAGGGGTCCCCGGCAGACAGCCGCGTGTCCAGGAAAAGCTGAGACATGACTTTGGTGTAATGGTACATATTTACACTCACCATCCCATAGGTCACTGCAGAACAAATCAGGATATGACAGGAAAGAGAAGGAAATTTCTATTAGCACCAGCAGCAATGACACAGTTTACATGCACTCTGACTGTGTAAGGACCCTATGAACATTTAAATTCAAAATTAGGCTGAATCTACTTTTAATTTTGTAATGCATTATTATTCTCTGTGGTTTTTCAGTAGTTCTGGAAAATGCCTTTAACAGTCGGGCTCAGGCTGGCAAAATAAGCCTTAATGGTGTCTGCCAGGAAATCATTTCCTGATCCACCCTAAACCACACTTTGGCATTTTTTATTGCAGCAAGAAGAGAGAAGGGAAAACTTTACCATGAGTTCTTTTTATTTTATTTTAACTTTCTTCCCAAACATGCCACTTCTTTTTGCCATTTGAAATTTGTGCTGTTTTTTGAATTTATGCCCGTTGACAAATGCTGAAATTTAGATTTTCTGCCAGACTCATTAAGCTGTGAGTATAGAAAGTAAATTTTCAGCAACAGGACAGATGCCACATTTTAAACAGCTGTCCATGAGTCACTCTCAGTTCAGTCCACAACTGTTATCTGGAGCTTAATTTATGCTATCTATCAGGGGGATCTCCCAAGTATTTCTTAATAATGATCAAAGTAATAAGTCACTTCTGAGGAACTACTCCTAAAGGACACAACAAGACTCGCATCTTTACTTACAGATACAGATGGTGATCAGGAATGCGATATATGTGAGCATCTCCCTCAGTACATTCCTGAGGTATCTTTCTCGACTGCTGTCACTCTCCTCCATCAGCTCTGTGCCCCACAGAACTACAAAGGAAACAGTTAACTATTAACGTGCAACATTTACACAGAGACAAAATGTGCAACTATCTCAGGAAAGTTTAGAAGAGTGACAACACTCGAGGCTTCCATCTTTGCATAAAACCTGAGATAAATAAAGGCTTTGACACATCAGGACAATATTAGTGCAATTATTAAACTCAGATTTACTGATAACAATAGAGAAGAAAGCGGTGGTCATACAGAATTCAAACATATATGTGATTCCTTACTTTAATGGACGAAAATAAAGTATTGTTTTTTATTATGCGTGCATCGTCTTTATTAACAGTTACAAAGTAAAAACACAAATAACACTTAGTAAAAAAAAATAGCATGACTGTCAGTGAACCGTACAAGTTTTTTTGGCGTTATTCTTTACAATAAGAATAAAAAATCGTCACCTACTTCTGATTTTCTGGAGTATCTGCTTCAGACAGCTGGGGTGCCCATGCCTGTCTTGCTGCTCCAAAGTCGGGGTTGGATAGAGTCCTCCTCGGGGGATGTTGGTGCTGCTGCCCCCACGGTTGTAGCTACCCAGACCGCTGCTGCTGCAGCTGCTGCCGGAGGCCGTGGACGCCGACCTTCTCCCGGGACTCGCTTGAGGCCAGTCTGCTTCCATGATCTCGTCCTCTGGTTCAAAACCCGGGTTATCCCGGCTCCACGCCTGTCGCGAAGGTGGGGACGGGGTGCCTACGACTCCACCGAGACCCAGGTCTTGATGCTGGATGTTCTCCATCTCTATCCCTTCACTTGAGTCGAGTTTGTTTGCCGACCTAGCAGCCTGGCTCTGAGGCAGCTGCTGGGGTCTGACTCGAGATGAACTCATGGTCCAGCTATTATTATTATTTATTTATGTATTTTGTTATTATAATATGGTGCGGGCATGCGAAAAAGCTAAATGTTACCCATAAACAGCAGTGACTGAAGCTTTCAGAGGTGACAAACTAAACTGTTAAACGCCTTAAAAAAAAACAACCAAACAAATAAAGCAGAAAATTAGTCAAATGGCCAATTGAATGAGATCACAAAACCTTGCCGTGTGCGTAAAATTCACGGTAAAGAGATCTCAGTAACGATGTCCTGCTCCTCATAGCTAATGCAGTAGTTTCCACCCTCAACAAACCGTTAGAAACTTCCCGAAAAGTCCCGTGAAAAACGACGTCCGTTTCAAAGTGATGCCTTTAAAGTGGTTAAAGTTGTTAGATAAACAGGTATTTGGACTGAACTGTCCGCCGCATTAAAATGCCGTGTTTACGTGAAAAAAAGAAGATAGTTTTCTCATCCCGGGACAGCCATCTTGTTCTTGTTACTCTTCCCCAAAAAACTCCTTGGGTTGGACTCGGGTTACAGTAGAAGTCATGGCGTCGCAGTAAAGGATGGAAAATACCACAGGGGGAACTTTTTTTTTTAATGAAATTGATATAAAAAAAAATTTAACCCCAATGTCTTAATAAAACTTAACAAGATTTCACTGTTTGGATTTACAGCGTGTAAAAGGTGTAGGGTTGTATTTAATTAGTAAAACCCAGAATTCAGAATTTGAAAAATAGTTGTAATTTTATTTGAAAACCTTTTTTTTTTTTAGCTTTCTTTTAACAACCAGTAAGCTTTGCACTTACTGAAAATGTAACACAGGTTTTATTTATAAAGTTACACAAGCGCTGCGTGTTTGGGTCTGTGGTTGCTATGGCAACAAGGCACTGGGCTAAGAGGAGCGTACTGACAGGAGGTCAGAAATTTCAGTGCTCCACATGCAAAAAACAAACCAAACCAAACAAAAAACCCCGTCAAACTCAGCGGGAACTATATTTGATCTGCTGCATTTTAGCTTCTAAATAAAATGCATGATCATGGCCGTAAATTGGTCAAGCTGACCCTTTGGTAATAACGTGCTTTCACACTGGGCTTCTGTAGTTATACATGGGTGTAACAACAACTCTAAAATCTCAAGCACATATTTAAAAACAAACTCCACAAACAAACATGGTTTCAGTAATTTTGTTTAGTTAGGTAATGATGTTAACCTACGGTCTGCTCTCCATTTTGTTAGTTACTATATAATTAGTATTATGTGTTTTCATGTGTCCAAACATTATGCAAAAAAATTTTTCTCAATACTTTGGAGGTTAAAAAAAATGCAACTTCAGATTTTTTATTTTGGGTCTTTCCAGCACTCTAGTAAGCCATGATAATGGAGGTGTTACATGTATAATGCACCGATGATCAGGCTCTGACTTTCTCTGCACTATACATCCTAAATTAAAAACAAAGATGTATGATATTAAAAAAAACAAGCTTGTCTGATTTCCAGATTGTAGATATTAAAAATGTACAAGTCACTCATCTTACAAAATAATTATTTCGACTTTAACTTTTATATATTTTTTAAAACATCAAATCAGCAAAACTTTGCCTATTCACCTAAATTTAGTAAACCAAACTGTTTTAAGAAACATTGTAAAAGTATTAAATCAAGCTTTTTTTTTCTATTTACGTCAGTGACAAAACACATATATCAACCACCAAGCAACCAAGATTCATTATTTTTAACCTTTCCCTACATTTTGTGCAGGTTTTTATTCTTTCTTTCTTTTTTTCTTTTTTTTTTTTTTACCAGCAAAGAAAAAAATGTCCCACAGTAACAGGCATTAAGCCTGTTTGACCACATGGTGGTGCTTAATATCTACTTTTGGGAAACCCAAAATCAAAGATAGAGTTAAATGTCAGAAATCATGCTTCACTGTTGTTTCATCGGTTTAAATAACCTCACTTTTAGTGTCAAGTCTCAGTTAAGTTTCACAAAGCTTTCTTTTGCTCTGTCTCCACAGGTAATTAATCCGAAGACAGAGAAACATACAGTAAACATCTTAGAGCAGAACAGTCAGTGCACACAAATCAAAATAAACTAACAACTTTGACTGAGAAACGGTCCTGCCCTGGTGTACTGGAAAAATATTATGTCATCTTTTCGACTGATAGAGATGAGTTTCTTCTATAGTTGTTATGATGCCTGCAGACAACACTGTAATCAATAGTGAGAATAGGGAGCAGGTGGATGAGTTTAAATACCTAGAACAGAGAACAGAGAGTGGCGGCAAGTGAAAGGGAAGGTTTACAGCATGGTAGTGAGACCTTCTATGATATGTGGTTTGGAGATGGTGGGACTAAGAAAACGACAGGTAACCAACGTACAGATGGGAGAGCTAAAGATGCTGAGATTTTCTTGAGAGCGACCAGATAGAAACTGAGTACATCAGAGGGACAACTCGGGTTGAGCAGTTTTGGAGACGAGGATAAATGGGCAAGGCTGAGATGATTCGGATATATGAAGAAGATGGATAGTGTATATGTTGGACAGAGTACTGTTGAATATGCAAAGATTTATGCATGTAACGGAGGACATGCAGAGGGTAGGTGTGACAGAAGAGGATACTAGTGATAAGGAGAATTAGAGGTGGACCCCCTAAATGGAACAGCTGAGAATAAGGAGAAGAAGTTGTTCACAGTTAGAACTGGTTTGTAATGAGATTTTTACCAAAAGAATGCGTTGTAATCACAGAATTATCGATTTGATATGCACGTTTAAACAGTATACAGTATGCATGTTATTATGCATGCAGTATGCATGCTACAGACAATTACGTATATATCAACATAGACGATATCAAAAAACCGCAAAAACCTCAATGCAGGGCAACTAAAGAGTTTAAAAACACTCCTGTCCATGAGTACCGTTTCAATTACGCTCCACACGTTTGCGGATAGTTTTGTAGGGGCGTGGTTATTTATCTGACGTCACTCTCTTTGTTGCCCAGTGTAATCAGTCCATTGGCTGAATTTGTGTAATGGGGGTTCCCAGCCCCGGATTGCAGGGGTACAACAATAAATCGAAGCTATCGCTTTAAATCTTCAATCTCTGGTAGAGCAGAGATCATAAACTGTCAGTGAGAGCAGCGTGGGAAATCGCACAGTATCTCATTTGGGATTTTCTGTAATTCAGAACCCTTTACAGTCGGTTGCTCATAATTATTTATTACACACCATTCTGTCTACATAGATAGGTCTTTCACAAGGTAAGTTAGCATTCCTCTAAGCTAATGGTTACAGCATCAGCTAGCCTAATGTTAGCTGCATTGTGTAGTTACACCGCAACTATTCCAATCGATTACAACGAGTAATAATTCAGAGTTGGCGACTAAAATGTGTCATTATTGTGCAAATATTCCACATTAGCTGTGTGGTTAGACGTTTTAACTCTGAATCAAGTTAGTTAAATCGTCTTCCTTTGTTGTCTCTGAGAGCTAGCATTAGCTCTTAACTTGTTTCATTGATAATAGCTGGACACTCAGGCGTTGGCTAACAGAAGTGTGAGGGAGCTTTATCTTACTTGGGCTTTGTAACAAATTTTAAAAGAGTGAATGGATAGTATCAGTAGTGGAACCTCTCTGTTGGTTAACTACAATGGCAAATGCCCTAGCCATTGCTAACGCCGGGTTTAACATCAGGTCGGCTTGATTTACACGAGCTCTGCCTTCAAACAGCCTGCTAGTTGTATGTATGTGTGGATGTTGTCTGTTTTCCAGGGTTGCGTGTAAATGAAATATGCCCGCTGTCTGAACAAGTGGTCCCTGTCGAAAGAAAAAACGACGACGCCACAAGTCAGCTAACGCTAGTGTTAGCCAGTTAGCAGTGTCGCAGGCTCAGAGTTTCGATTCAGTTTGCTGGGCTCGTGTTAGCAGTTTACGGTGACAGCAAAGAGGCCGGTAGTGGCATTCATATTCATTCAGTCCACTATATAACGTGTGTCAGCTTAACGACGTTTCAGTGCTCATTAAACTTCTAGAACTGGCGCACATACGGTGCGGTTTTTGGATCCGTCTGTTAACGTGATAAACGTGAAAGATGACAAAATGTGGTTAGACGAAAAGGCCCTTTATAGCAGGCCACTCATCTATATATGGTTACGCAGATATAACACATGAACGTGATGTATAGTTGCAACTCGATTTAGCGGTAGTTTCACTGGCTTTCTCCACTCGTTAACCAGAGCACCTGCACTACTAGCTTCCCTTTTTAATCATCAGCTGGTTTCCCTCTTTGTCTCATTGGATAGACGTGATGGCGCAGTTGAATGTCGGCTAGTGTATTAGCCAGCCAGCTAAACAGTCAACTGTCTTGCTTCTGGTATGGAGTTAATGTTGGTTTGATGAAACGTGGGCCTAGACGACAAAAACGAAGCGCTTTTCTAGCAAAGAGGAGACCTTTCTGTACTTCCTGTACTTGCTGCTCAGATACATCCATGTTTACCTCAGGCACTGCAACTGCGTGTGCTCAACATGGACTTCCTTAAAATGGCCTGACCGCAAACAATGCACGATTCGCTTTAACTGATTTTGAACTTCATTTTCTGTGTCCGTCACTCAGTTGCCACTCTATTATGACTCCCTAGCTTAAGCCAGTGCTGTAAAATGCAGATGTAATCCTAGTGGAGGAATTTTGAGTGTTGCTAAAAAATATATGGCCGTTTTTCGTTTCGTTTTGTTTTTGTTTTTTGTTAGTTATGCACGGTGTTGTTTAATAGTATTGAGTTATCTTAAGTATTATGTGGTAGTCTTTCCACGATGTTTTTCCACAAACTAAATATTTTCACTTTTGCTAATGTGGTTTAGGGTATGTGTAATCACCAACTGAATGTTTAAATGCATGCTCTTGGTATTATAACTAAATCCTGGTCGTTTTTTGTTTTGTTTTTGTTTGTTTGTTTTTTCATTTCAGCACTTAATATTGTTTACCAAAGAAATGGTGATGGAGAAGCCAAGTCCCCTGCTTGTAGGGCGGGAGTTTGTGAGGCAGTATTACACACTCTTAAACAAGGCACCAGATTTTCTGCACAGGTAATTGCAAAATGTTTACATGACAGTCTATTTGATGGGAAATTTGTGCATGGGTAATGATGCTTTTTAACTTGCGATTAGGTTTTACGGGAGGAATTCTTCCTACGTTCATGGAGGACTCGACCCAAGTGGAAAGTTGGCAGAAGCAGTGTATGGGCAAGCGGTAGGTACTGTAGCCCCAGTTCATTAATGGGGTAATACTTAATTTTAGTGAAATGTCATTTTAATGGAATTTAAACGTTTTAAATAAGTCGCTGTCTGCAAAGAATATATGTATGGGGAAGTAAAAAAAATGGTATTATTAAACTGCCAGAGGTAAAAATACCATCTTGCACCCTGAGCTGATGTATACTTATAAAATTAAAACACACTGGGTAAATTCTGCTGATTTTTAACCTGCCAAATTAGTAATTAAAAGTTTTGTGAGAGACTAGAAATAAGATTCCTATTTTC